TGTTCAATGGACACCCTGTATTCAGTGAAGGTCCGTAGGCAATCCCATGCAAGGAGATGCTTTCCAATGGCCTTGTCAACCGCAACCGCGAAACATAACGGCATAACAGGCGCCAACACTAGTAGTGCAACGCGTACAGTATGCAACCGAAAACGATTCACCTTCTCGCTCTAACACGTTTAACATGTGCTCTGCAGGGGTAAAGCCAAAACTCTCATTTGACGCTAGGTCGCTCTTTCTCTCTGTCTCTCTCTTTCTCTGTGCCCCTATTCGCTAGCGGCCATGTGTTGACTCAGCGAATGTGTGGAACAAAACAAAATGTTGGAAAACATTTGGTAGTGTTGGTCTGAGTGTCGGCTGAGACAGAGGCACAGGCAGAGGCAGCGGCAGTGAGACCGTGGCAGGCAAAGCAGTAAATCTGTTTTGAAGTGCTTTGTTGTTCTTGTTGTTCGAAGCTGGGGAAGAGCAGTACGTAACGGTTTATGCAACAATTTGTTAGCTTTTTATATAATACCACAATTTAAATTGATTTGTAAATTAAGCTCTCAAAGTGATTTAAGTATCTGATTCTACACAGGCTAAGAATTTGTTTTGTAAATTTCCAAAAGAATGCAATTTATCTAGTGAACCTTAAGGTATTTAAAAGAAGTTTATCTTTGTTTTAGCCAAAGTTCATTGACCTTGGCTTAGCATACAACTTTTTAATTAATATAAATTGCAAAAGAAAACATGAAACTTGTAAGAAAACACAAAGTAAGCCACATGATAATTAAGTTCGTGTGGAAGGCAGCTTTTCGTTGCCTTTTCAGAATGATTTAAGGCACAGTTCATTGCAGCTCCCACTTGCCTAGAATATGTGCGAGGGAGATAGCTATCTTTGGTATAGTCACGCAGCAGGACAACTAAATAAGGTCACGTGCGAAAAGTCAGGCGACGCAGTTAAGCTTGGCCTTAAGACTACATTGAGTTGAACTTTTACATAAGTGCGAGGGTGGCTTGAGAAATTAAAGATGAATACAATGAGAAAATACAATTATTGATAAAGGGGAATTTTTATACAAACAGTAAAAATATTTTAACTAAATTTTATATATATGTAACATATATATATGTATGTTTCAGTTTAAATTTTATTTTTAAATTTTATATAAAAATTTTATCCAGCTCTTTAGGTATGAGTACTTCACAGTTATTTATGTCTAACTTTTTGGCATTGCTGGGTTTTTTTGTTACGCTATGTAAATATGTATTTTAGCCTCTGTTTGGGGATGCTATTAAAAACTTCTAAATGGGCTTTTTGCACATATGAAAAAAATTGAAAATAAAAAAACAATCAAAGGCCTTAATGGCTGAAACGTGCAATCAGCTTCAAAATTCTATTGACCAAGCCAATTTAAAGGCTGAAGGACATGCGATAAGGCAGTCAATATAAATATGCATTACGCACGCTCCTAACTTATTTTTTTTTTTTGCCCTCAGCATTTGAAATTCAAATATAATTTGATATAGCCTTTTTATATATAATATAAAAATTAATTTTTAATTTAGTAGTGGTAGTTTTTAATTATTTGTAAAATTTATATACACACATATATTTCCCTTTCGCAGCTTCTGCTGTGACACTTGCCGAAGGAAAATTGTCTCATTTTTCATTGTGAACGATTTTTCATTTTCCCTTTTCTGTTCTTAATTATTTCGCTGGCAATTTGAGCTGTTGCCTCGTAACTCAACTAGAGAAGTCTTCAAAAAGAAGTCACCAAAAAAGTGAATTGTTGCGCAAAAAGTTACGTAATCATAAATCAACAGATACAAAAGGGGCGTGGCCCCTATGTATGTATATATCTTCTTTTTTATATCGCTTGTCACTTTCCATCAGCAACAAATTAAAAGGCAACTGACACATGTTTTTGCGGGTGTGTATGTGTGTCTTTTATTTATGTGTGTGTGAGTGCGGGTGTTGGCAGCACCCTCAAACCTAGATAGAAATTTTTGCTAGCAATAATTGGGCTGTGCGGGCATCTATGATGGCAAAATGTTTTATTAGATTTTATTAATTGGCATGGAACACAAGAAATCGACGTTGAAAATGTTTATATATAGTATATGCCTGAAATAATCGTATTATATTTAAGCTGGCTTTGTCTGTGAGTCTGCTAACTGCAAGCCTCATGCACGTCGCTTTTGATAAGAGAATTTAGCTATTCACAGTATTGTAAGTAACTAAAACAACTTGGAAGTCAAAATATTGCTGAAGTGAGTAGCAAAGAGCTTTAAACGAGCCTAGAGCTATTTGATCCGTATGCAAATGGGATTTTAATTAAAAAGACTTCAAATTTTTCAAACCAGACTTAAAGAAACTAATTTTAAATTTGTAAAGTTTAAAGGAATTTTACAATATGACAAAGTTGATAACATTCACTTATGTTTGAAAGATATTTAGAGATTATATATTACAGTCTTTCGATTTATTCAAGTAATCGACAGTTATTGTACATTATAAACAGTTCTTTAGGAAGTTAGCATTGTTTGATCTTCTGCACACACACACACACACTCGATCACTGAACCAAATTGCAATTTATAATCACGAGCCCATACGACAGTCCCAATCGACACCAGAAGTATTATGTTCTCTAATCAAAAATTAGACTGAAGTCCACGCGTGTTGCCATTTTTAGAAAATACCTCAATGTTAATATTGTTTTATTTACTTACACTTATCATCTTTGCTCATATTTGCAATAATAATAATCAATAATCAGCAAAAACCGTGTGTTTGCCGCTCTTTATTAATATTTTGGTTTTCTTTCTTTTTTCTGTCGTTCTTTTATCAACAATCGATCACTTAATTAACAGTTTCTTAGTCGACTGTAGAGCGGATCATATTTCAGTGGTATATAGTCAGTTGGTTCTGGTTTAGGTACTGGAACTGTAAGTGCTCCGGCTGAAATGCTAAAGCCCCATTGTACGATTTATCTACGAAACTCCAAAGATAATGGCTAAAATATTTTGTTTTTGGTCAGAGAGCGAGGGAGAGAGAGAGAGAGGGAGAATGTTTGTGTAGTATATGTTATATTGTATTATATTTCATTTTGTTGTTGCTGTTGTTGTTGTTTTTGTGATAGGCACACCTGGAGATAACTGCAATAGTATTACGAGAGCCTACACACACTTTTTTTTTTTTTTATCAGTTCGAACTTGTCGACGCTGATTTCATGACTTGTGCTAATGTAATGCAAGTAACTAAGCAAGTATACCCTGTAAATATATATATTGTCATACATACATATATATATGTATTTCATGTGTCGTAATGTTTTGATTGCCGGCTTTTATTTGCTTTTATTTTACTTTATAGAGATTATGATGAGATACGTAAGACCTTACTCCACAAATGAAAACCGAATGCAATGAGAAGACAAGTGTCTGGGATTTACAAGTGGGCTGCCTTACTCATGTGCTATCAGCGTGCTCTACATGAGATCTGTCTGTCAACTTTAATTGAAAGTTGACAAAATGTTTGCGTTCGATTAGAGAAATGAAAAGAATTAGAGAAAAGAAAAAGAAAATATTGTAGGTGGAGTGTGGGATATGAGATATAGATAAATGTGGTATATGATAAGTTATGCTCTTTTTATACTCTTTGTCGTTGGATTGATAGATTGATAGAGATGGAATATAGAGTAACCTTACGTATTGTAAATCAAGTTTTTAATATAATTCTCTACCAATCAGTTTATTATTAAGATATACCTTTGATATAATGAATACGCTTGAGAAAAGTTAGAAAACTTATTTCATTAAATTATTATGATTCATATCCATGATAAAACTCTTTATAATAATTCAGTGTGATTTGGTAGGTCCACAGACTAGACTAAAGTACTTCCCCTATACTCAACCTTCAAAACAGGAGCTCCACATAGAGTATTTTCTTGCCTCTGTTTATTTTTTTAAGAATTTTAATTGAGTTACTTTCTGCAAGCTGTCATATCAACTTGATAAGACGTCGAGAAGACAGCAGAGCAACACTTGGCCAATATTTGCAGCCGTAGAAAGCTTATAATTCATGCACGCCTCGCTCTTTGCTCAACATCATAAATGAGTAATGCGAGCAGTCAAGAAGAAAAAAAAAAGTACAGAAAGTTGAAAACAAGATGTGAATAGATCTACGAGCTTAGCGCAGCTTATGATAATAATAATTATATATATATATATATACGTTGGTATAAATAAACTGGCCAAATGATATCTAAATTTCACTTTGTTTGGTCGGGGCTTAAGAAAGATGGGGCCAAGCTAATTTTGTGTCAGGAAATGTTTCACGTGATCTCAACCTGAATTTCGCTATCAGCAATTGCGAAGGCGGACAAATTAATTAAATTAAATTTTTGTTTTTTTTTTTTTTTCGATTTTTGCGGATGTCTTGATTAGATTAGAAGACGCAGCCCTGAAAAATGGAATTGGGCGGCTCTTCAATCGACCCGCAAACTGTTTACCAATCATTGCACCTGTTCAACTCGCTCGTTCAGCTGCCAAAAATAAACGATCTATTTAGCTGCACATTAGTGAGAAGAAGTGAAAGCAACGCCAGCAGACAGCAATAATTAATTTTAGCATTTGGCGACACGCTAAAGGCGGCCAAGTCTAAATTTAGTGAGACTGTCAGACTTTCAGTTCAAAAGTGCATGCATATAAATGTATGTAATATGCAATGCAATCGCTTGGCCACGTTACGTATACGACGTGTAAGCGACTGTCTATTAGCGATTTATATTTAGGGGCGCATTTGTTGAGGCAAGTCAGTTCAATCTATGTGGCTCTCGCCTCTAATTATGTTAAATACTATAGATTAAATATAAAATATATTATAGATTATAAATGTAGTATAGATTACGTATACACAATGTGCTTTGTTTTCTGCTGCAAATTAGTTAATTATTAAATGATATATTAATTATATTTAACTTGAACTTGATTATATTATAATATTCACTTACCGCTTATTTCCACATCTGTGAAGGGTTTCTTTTTAACGGGCTATAAAATTAATGAAATGCAAGTTAATAAAAACAATCTCTAAGAACTGATTAAAATATTAATTTCATCTACCTTTGTGGCCCGTTTGCCAAGCAGCGCTGTGCCCAACATCTGCAAAAGAAGACAAACAAATTCAATTAGTTTAAATTATGCTCAGCTAAAGATTCTCATTAGTAAACATATTACATATATACATACAGTCAAGTGAAAAAGTTAGTAGTAAATCAAATGCAATTGTGTTGCCTACTTTCAGGCGCAATCAAAAAATCATTTGAAATTGTAAGTGAATTTGGCAAGCAGTTGCTTGCAGTTGCTGTTAGCGCGTATTTACTGTGCTTGGCTGCATGCGTTTTTATTTATTTCTCTACTTATTTTTATTTTGACATTTCGCTTATTACGTCGCTATTTAAGCATCCATTTGGTTCTACGTTTTGTAAAAGCTATTTTCATTTTGCAGTCAATTTTATTTTCGTGTCAAGAATTCGGGCTATTTGTTGTTTGTGCCCGAATCGAAAAGCGCAGACAACAAAAAAAGCCAAAATCAAATTAATTCACCGCTAAGAAATATTTCAAATGTCTAAAATATATGAAATGGCCCAAACTGTTAAATCGAAATAATTAGCAATTTAAATATCTCACATTTTACATATGCGATTCTCTCGTTGACCTTTACCAATTTTAAATCAATACAATTTTATAGTCATTACGCTGCTTAGTCTGCGCTGCTCATCAGTATGCATAAGACACTCTCGTACAGCTCTGCGCCGGCTTCAGTTGGCGTAAACATGCATTAAGTATGCCAAGACACTCTCAGCTTTATCTCACGTATTGCCCCCGAGCTCTAAATAACAATTTCTTCAACAGTTTTTGAGTTGCTTGAAAGGTTATTTTTCCAGGAAATTCAAAAAATAGTGAGAGTTCGCCTAGATGTGAAACTAAGTATTACTTATGATGTATTATAATATTTTATGTATTTCATTTATAATGAGTAATGAATAAATTAATTAATTAACTTAAAATAACTGGTTAATTTTTATTAAAATATTATATTTATTTATTTTTTTATTTTAAATATTTATTTTTAAATAATTTTTGAAAATTATTTTTATATTCCCTTTTCATTGTTCATTGACATTATTTATTACTTATGATTAATTATTGATGGTTCATATTGATAAGCATTTGTTTGATATTTTATTCTCTCAACTCTAACTAATTATTCATTGCTAATAGTTCATTGTTCATTATACATCACTCACTATTTATCACCTTTTATTTTAGATATTATTTTCGATTTTCGCTCTTGAGCAGTTTGAAAGATTAACTTGGCAGCAATAGGCTAATAATCGCGTTTGTTTATGTTAGTCGAGTGAATTTTTGTTTAAACACTGAATTTCTTTAATGCCAAAAAAACATTGAGCACCCACTACCGCTGCCGCCGCCTTGAACGGTCCCATAATGGGAAATCTAGCATCGAAATATTTATACGATTTTATATACAATTATTACTTTAACATACACTTTTGATATGGAGTTATATAAGAGTTTTTCAATGAGTAGAATCTATTATATTATCTATAAACTAGCTATACTTGTTCGCTCAATTCTCTTTCATCTAACTAAATTACCCGTATGAACTCATTTTTCATACATTTTCCTGGAAAATTGAGGCATTTCTTGTCAAGTGCTAAACATGCCATTAAATCTTGAGCCTATAAGTCGTAAAAGCATTATTTACCTTCTGGCAACAATTAATATTTACAGGCATATTAAAAATTTTGCTTTGCATATAAACGAAACAGTTTTCATGCTCGTCAAGTGAAAAGTGAGCATATTGGTTTTGGTTTATTGGATTTTCGACTGTATGATCTTAGAGTTAGGATTGGCTGCTGTCCGTGAACGAGTATCATGCAGTCAGTTATGCCCAACTGCAATATGCACACTTGTTAGTACCTGCTGCTGTCTCAATATGATTTTATAGCAATATTTATATACATCAATATTTACACAATTGCTTAGCAGTTGCTCTGACTGCAGCGGTTCGATTTGGCTCGGTTCGGGTTCAGTGCGATTCAGGACTTTAGGCGGGTGGCGGGTAGGGGGGAAACATGGAAGTTTTAGTTACTTTATGCAATGTGATGCTACTCACCTTTAGCTGATGGCGCAGTCCACTCATTGGGCTCATTCAATATTGATAAAAGCGAAGGGCAGAGACAGACAGAGACAGAGAGAGATAGACAGAGAGAGAGAGAGAGAGAGAGAGAGAGAGTGCAAGCGAGCTGGGTTGATGCCTTGTGACGGTGGCGTATATGTAATATTTATATTTGGCCTACTTTTTGCTTCAGTTGGAACATACAATTTTGTGTTTTTAATTATTTACAAATCGTTTTTGCACATTTTTGATGATTTTTTTTTCTGTTTTTTTAAGTTAATTACGTTTGTTTTTGTGGTTCACTTCACATTAATTACAGCCGCGTGTAAACAATTAACAGAAAATCTTTACGAAATGATGTTAGATACGATTTCTTCAGATAAACTAGAAATGATTTGTTTAATTGCAAATTCAATTGAAATTGCTCAAATTTGATGAAATTTCCAGTTCTTCTTTGGTTTTTATTGAAACTGTTTGGCTGCTCGCTCAATTAAACTTGATTTTTGTTTCAATTTATTATTCAGCTTTTGAAGTTTTTTTTTTGTTTTTTATATATACATGTGTATATCAAATATTAACTGCACTGCTAAATGTACATCATATAAACTATTATTTTTCTTTCCATTTAATGTCTATTTAGATTTTTATTCAAGCGCTGCGCGACGATCGTCTCACAACGGACTCCCAAACAATATTGAAAGCATTTTATTTCGAATGATCTACGAAAGCCAGCCGAAATCTTGGCCAGACAACAACAGCGGCAGCAGCAACGACTAAAATATACACAAATTGTGAGCAACAAATAATAAAAAGGAAAAGAAAAAAAAAAAAAAAATCACGAAGCCGAAAAAAAAAACAGCGTAGCAATAAAATAAAATAAAATAAACTCAAACTGAAACTGAAAACAAAATCAGCACGAAATACCGGCAGCTGCCGTGCCAGACAAATCGTTGTTGTTGTTGCTGCTGCCTCTCTTGATCGCATGCTCTCTTATTATTATTGTTGTTGTTGTGTTTGCCATTTTTGCCTAATTTTCATTACTGATTTACTCAAAATTTGCCTTTCATAAGTTTTTATTTTTCCTGATTTTTCTTGTCAACACGCAACGTATATATCGAGCATGTGTGTGTGCGTGTGTATATATATGTGTGTGTGTGTGTGTCTGTATGCGTGTGTCTTATTCTTATGACTAGTCGGATTTAAGCTAGCATACACACAATCTATTGTATATATATCATATATATATACACTTACATATATATAATATGCTCTCAAATTATATATACACGTGTTTATATATCGGACATATAACATAATAAAGCTGTCCTGAAATATTTTCATATCTTTTGCTACTCACATAAATCCAGATTAAGAACAACACAAAGAACAAAGACTTGGGCGATCTGCTTGCGGCTGATTGATTGATTGATTGATTGACTGACTTACAGATTGCTTGACTTAATGAACGACTAGCAACTGCTTTGATTTTAATTAATAATAGCTAGTAGGACTTTCATTTATGGAACTGAACTTTATATTATGTGTATACAAATGGAATGATTAATTGATTGACCATCTAATTGATTGCTGGGATCTTTGGAAAAAAGCGGCAATAGAAAGTTCTAAAGTGAGAAGTGAGAAAGAAAGTTCTAAATCATGAATGCTCTTGAGTTGATCTGGCAAAACTTCCGTCAATTTCCAATCATCTTTACGATAGATAGAGGAATTGATTTAATAATAATATATATCATTGACTCATTCTAAATTCTCACTTCCGAATAATTACCTAAGAGTTCGTTCTAAAATCTCCCTGGCAATTAAATATCCACCCCGCAAAATGTCTGATTTTAGAACGGAAAGCAACAATATATATGTAATTATTATTATAAAACAGATAAAAACAAATGGGAGCAATGCGTTGCTCACAGTTTTTGGTTGACAGTTCGTTCAACTCGTTCGCTTAAATCATGTGAAAAGATGCGTGCATCATGCAATGGATGCGAGCTAAATGCGTTCGGGCTGTCAACCTCGCCTCGGCTCGCCTCTAGAGTGGCGCACGCTGCGTATGAGTTATATATAGAGCAGCTGTTGCTGCAGCTATATTAAATTGAAACTTGGCACAAAGTGCAGCAAAGATTGATGGGGATGAACAGCAATAGCAGCAGCGGTCGAACGTAAATCTCTGATAATTTCTTATTAGCCAGCTGTCCTAGGGTGTCGCAATACACACGGCGTATACGTAATATGCGCCGTGTCTCGATTGTCTATTGAAATCTCCGAATAATGAAGTATTGTTTGGAGATAACTTTGCCTCTAAATGGATGTATATGTAACTAACTAAAGTGTTTTGATGTGCTATTTACATGCTGAACTTGACTTTTGCTTTGGACAGGTGTTTAGCTGTGCGAAACGTGCATTGTTATCGGTGCTATAGATCAGTACATTTATCTGTTTCTATACATATATATACATATGTATATGTCTACATATATATTATTAATCATCTTTTGAAATACGGCTCGCTGATGTTACTTCTGCGCCTTTGGCCAGTGATTTATTTCCATCTCTCGCTGGCGCGAAACGTTCAATGTAAATATTTACAGCATTTATTTTTGTACATTTTAACAAATTGTGCAAAATAGAACTAATATAGATCTATATACGTATATAAGATACATAGTAAATATTATGAAACAGCTTGCGCCATCTACCTATGCAATCATACATTAGAGTTGGCAAAATGAGAAGTTGACAAAATCGTTTCTCATTGGTCCATAGTTGTTACACATACACTCACACTTGATTGGCTGCTGAGTCGCTGAATGGAGCAAGCCGATCGGCGATGATTGAACGAAATGAATCAGTAAAGAACTAGGGAACTAACTGCCAACAGAGTAGCATTGAGCTGTAGCACATGCTTAGTGGTTCAATCTAGTGACTCGTTCAATTGAACACATACACACAACTCTAAAAGACAAACACACACAGACGCACACACACACATGTACATATGTATACAGAATAGATACTTAAGTGAGGAAGTTGTTAATGTGTGTGCGAGTTAACGGCGCGTAAATTGATAGCATTGAAATGAACATGGGAAGCTGTTTAGCTGAACGAATTCATTTTAATGAAAATGTCGCACATTTTTATGAAATCATCAACAACTCAAATAAATGATTTAACTAATTGCTCAAAAATAAAAGAAACTTGATTTGTTTTGGTTGCCAAGTGCTTTGCACTTACTGCAAACGGTTGCACGCACTCTCCCGCTTGATCAGCCAGATTGAACACGAAATTGAAAACGATATCGAAATTGAATTCAAACTGTGCTGATTTCCTTTGAGTATGCAGACACTGTGCAGAGACACGAACACACGACAGTCAGCCAAACGGGCACGCGGTCCAAATAGAAATGATCTTTCACGAGCGATTCGCATTCGTTTTTGTCAAACGAGTCTCTGCGCTGCTCTGTGGGCGTGGCAGCGGGCGTGGGTGTGCGGCAGCAAAAAACAAAAAAACAAAAACAAATAGGTGTGTTTTCATTGTTGTGGATTTTCATGTGTCTCGCTTTTCCCACATTCAATTTTAATTACTTATTTATTGCAAACAGAAATTTTCCAATGAAAACTAAATAAGAATAATGTACATGACCCTTTTTCAACTGAAATAGCCATAAATAGAAAATATAAAATTATAAAAAACATTTTAATTTCGCGGATTTTAATGTAGATCGACTATATATAGAAAATATATCATACACTTTATATTTAGCAGCTGTTGTACAAGGCAATTTATTGATTTTATTATAACAGTGATTGATTAAAAATATTTCCTAGTTAAAAAAATTAATTACAAATTTTTTCTATATATATTTTAGTTGTGCGCTATGCTTTTCTCCCTAAATACTATATACTTATTGCTATATATATCACAAATTTTGGATATTATCTTTGCTTTTGGATACTAGTCGAAGAGCCTATGCATTAGTTAAATAAATATATATATATATATTCCTTTGTGTACTCTCTTATATGGAAGTGTAATAATAATTGTGTCCTGTAATACGGAAGTATCTGGGTTTTTCACTAGATTATAAATTCACTTAGGGCTAATCTAAATAAATATGTATTTAGCTTGAAGCCTAAAAAGCATTTCGTAGTAGTCAAAACTCTAATCATAGATGCGACATCTGGAACAAGCAGACAAACAAATAACTATTCAATTATACGGGCATCAAGATACACGCACAGAAATAGAATACTAATACATGTATGGGCGCATGTGCGTGTGCGTGAGTACGTGTGCGCTCAAAAAGTAATTTCTAAAACACGTCAAGTCTTTGATAAGCTTCACAACAATAATCACGCATTAGCTGACTCTCTCAAACACTCTCAACAGCTTTGCAAAACTCGGCACTCAAAAGGGAAAGGGTGCACACACACACATGCGTGCATTTGAGAGCGCAATGGAGAATGTACTGAGAGCAGTTGAGAGAGCGATCTCTCTTGCTGTCTTGCTCGATCGCATTAGACTAATGACTGAGTCACGTCCAATGCTCGCTCAGTGTACAAGAGAATAACGGACGAAAGCAAATGCGGAATTCAGATTGTTTACCCTGTATGCATAAACAAAATGGTCGGGTATTATGTTTTGTGGCGTTCCAGACGATGCATCCATATATATGTTTTCTAATTGTTTTCCATACCTATTCAGAGTATCACAATCTTATACCTGCAAATAGCGATAGCTACCGAGTGAGCCGCTGCGATGCGTCTCGCTTAGCTTAATATATTGACCCAAGAAATTTAACACCCACGCACTGCGACAGATATTATGCAAATAGCCCAGCAGATAGGGCGTTAGGATGGTGCCTATAATGTAGGCCAGCTGTGGAATACGCTCCGTGTGATCATAGAAGGGCCACAGCCAATAGCCTCGTCGGACAGCGTCTCTCGTATGATGCGTAATGAAGGCACAGAGCAGAGCACCCAACATTAAGCTGCTGCGAAAGTAATTCAGGCACGCGGTGCATATATAAAACAACAACATGGCAAAAATAACGCTGGAACAATGCAGAAAAGGACGGCGCATCAAATTCGTAGCATCCTAAAAACGAAAATGACAATGATTTATATAATGGGAGAGTTCAAGGTAATGTAAAATCTTACCTCTAGGTACAGGGAACGCGCCTCTATGAAGTGGTCCAAGTCAATAAACGAGGAGACGACAAAGCACGTGAAAATCAATATCCAACCATAAAGTTGTGTTGTCCGCTCATAAAACTGCATGGCAAATGCAATTCCCGTTAGGGCTCCAATTGCCGCATGAGTTGCATTGTCGGCTAATGCCTTCAGCAAGGGATGCTGGGTGAGTTCCACAAAATTGTCACCCAGAAGGCAGGTTATGGTCACCAGTGTAGTGAGCACAATACGTAAATAGACCATCGTGTGGCAGTGTGGCATCGATCGCCCCTGCTTTCTGTGCCTTGGCACCTTTTCCGCAAGTTACCTGCTCGAGTGAATTAATTATGGACGGCAGCGTTGCTCTTCAGTAGTTCGTTGTTATTGTTTGGATAATCTGTGCGCATAATGCACAATCAATATAGTGTCTTTTTGGTCAATTTATAGTTTGAATTCCCTGTGTAGGTATGTAAATAGAATTAGCTAACTGTAAAGTGTGCATTTGCTTTTATGTCACTCACGTGTTTTAGCGTGCCAGCAATGACAACAACTGCATTGCAGCAGCATGTAAGGTCTGTTTTGAGGGTTGCAAGTACACGTACACCATTACGTGGGCTCTTGGATGTCGCAGCAACAACAAGCGTCATTCTTTTTTGGGTCTAAGGTTTGGCCCCTAAATTGTTTTGTTTTGTCGAACAGATGTGAAGTGGGAGGCGGCAGCAGACTGAAGCTGTAATACATCTGGTAGCACTGCACCGATTATAGTCTGGCCACACAACAGTCGCAACAGCTGTTTATTTAGCACTAAATTTGACCTTATTACATGTTTCAGCTGTTATCCTAAATTGATATATTTTTTTAAGAATTTAGTGTCATGATAATTTTATTTTTAATTTATGTAGAGAACATATGATTATATGTTCCCTCTGTATGTTTTCGAAATGTTTTAATCATTACAATTGATTGCGTTATCTGTCATGGATCTGGCAGCACAACAGCACGCTTCTAACTGGCCGCACCGTGTGTTTGGCGCCAAACGTAATACCTTTGAAACATATAAGAGTGAACGCCGTCTTTACTTTAAGGTTTTTTGCACGGTGTCTATTTATTAATAATTTATATTAATAATTTATAAATAATTCACATGTGATTTCAATAGCACATCAGCAGTGGAAATTTCCAAAACTGTCCGACGACTGCTGGTAAAAGCTCTCTCATTCTATCTCGTTCTTATAAGCTTGATCACTTGCAAGACACATGTACATGTGTATTTCATCACACAGCGGAAGCGTTGACTAAAGCTAAAAAAGAAATAAGCTCCGGTTCTATTTTAATATGGGACTGTGACTTTTTGTTAATTAATTTTTTTGTTTGTTTTTGTTTTTTTAGTTTTTAATAAATATGAAGTGTTTTCAATATATTAAAAATATATATAAATTTATATTTTACACGATAAGACATTAGATTAACATCTTATATTATACTCTATATGCCCTGAAAATGCAAATCATAATTGGAAATGCGGGAATAATGATTTTTTTTTTTTTAATCTTATAGTTTTAATTTAAGAAATGAGACAACTATTTTAAAGTGCCGCATAAAATACGTTGTGACCCACTGTAGTCTGTATAGAATGTCAAGAATTTTTTTACACTGAGAACAAAAATACATACATGTGTATGTATTTTGTCTAAGACTCAAATTTATATGTACATTATGCATGGATTTTTTATTTTTAAGATTTTTGTACATAATTTTGTATACAATTATGTTTTTGTTTTATTTTACATTAAAAAAAATTAAAAGCTTAATATTCAATATTAAATGGATAATTTTTGTTCTTAATAGCATGTTCCATTTTAATCAAACGCTCTCCTGTATTATACGAATCCAGCACAGCGTGATCATCTGCAGTTAGCTTAAAGTCGAATATATTGAAGTTTTCCTCGATGCGCTTCGGATTAGAGGACTTGGGCAGCGGCACAGTTCCGATCTCGATCTGCATATATATGTACATCCGTATATTATGGAATGTAATCTATTATTTTAGTTACTAACCAGATAACGCAGCACTATCTGTGCCGTTGACTTTTTATATTTATCGGCTATGGCCTGGACCTTGGCATCGTATATGAAGCTCGGCTGTTTCTTGGCAGGATCAGGACGGCCCAGCGGACAGTAGGCGGTGACCACAATATTGTGTTGCTTGCACAATGCAATCAGTGGCTTCTGATTCAACGCTGGATGACATTCGATCTACAGAGATGATATGAGAAATATTAACTGTTAGCACTCAACAGATAACAAGCTTTTATAGCCCATATAAACTATGCGGGAGGTCTTTTTATAAATTCATTCCCGCGCTTCCACACACAGGCAAATAAATAATCGCATGTGTACATGTGTACGTGTGCGTGCCTTAAAGTTGTTTATAAAGCGTTTCAACGCTGTTGTTACCTCTCCAAAAATAAACACACCGAAGGGAGAACGTTATGTGAGTGCGGCAAAGCTGTTAACTATTTTGCACTCACACGAAAAGCGCACAGTGCATACACACACATGGATGCACACACACTTGAGAGAATGTGAGAGTGAAATTGAGTGCAAGCTTTAAATTCTTAAGTAGTGTGACCAGATGAAGGAGCGTATGGGTATCTCGCTCGATCGCACTTGGCATATGGCTGGCGAGCCCTATGCCCACTTGAGAGCAAATTTTATACGCGCAAATGGGAAATTGAGATATTTTGATTTAAATGGGTTTGTTTTTATAAAATTTAAAGTATTGCAACCGCAGTTGCCTAACCTGATTATGAATCGGCTTGATTTTGCAGTTGGCTAAGAGGCGTGTCAGCTGCTCGGAATTGAAATTGGACACGCCAATGCTTTTGGTCAGGCCCAGCTCGACGAGCTTTTCCATGGCACGCCAGGTGTCCAGGTAATCGACGTCGCTGCATTTAGATTAGATGGTTAATAGATAATCGTAAGGGCCACTGCGTGACTTACCTCATTTCCACCTCGCCCTTGGCATTGGTGGGCATCATGTCATTGTCGCCACGATACACGTAGGAGTAGGGCCAGTGCATCAGGTAGAGATCCACATAGTCGAGTCCAAAGTTTTGCAGCGTCTTGCGGCAGGCGTATTCCACCCTCTCCGGCTCGTGGAAGTGGCACCAAAGCTGTTCACAAAGAAAGAAGACACCTGTCAGACACCTGCCAGCTGGACAGACAGTCTGCTGCTCACCTTAGTGGTTATGAAGACGTCCTTGCGCTGGATGACGCCCTCGGCTATCTTCTGTTGCACCGCCCTGCCCACCTCGCCTTCGTTCTCGTAGAAGTAGGCGGTGTCTATATGCCGGTAGCCAACGTCAATTGCATGTAATGTTGCCCTCTCGCAATCTCCGCCCAGCGACTGTGAACAAGTAAATTATCATTGTCTTTCTCCCTCACACCCGCTGACTGCTGATAAGCTCTCTTCACTTGTAACTAGCGAACGAACAAGAACAACAACTGCTGTTGATCTGAAATACTTGCCGTGTATGTGCCTAATCCAATTGCCTGGACTTGGGTTCCGTTATTATTTTTGACATAGAAAGCTTTGCCTGCAGACATTTTTGCGAATTCTTTGGCAGCTGCCGTTCAACTGTTGCTCGAAATGAGCGGCGCTTGATTTTTATATGCGTCGCTGTTCGAAAGCTTTTGAGTGAGTGTGCTAAAAAGTTTAGTTCTAATAAGAATTATTTGCTTGTGCTAATCGGAGTGTGGTGATATTGCAAATGCGCTCAAAGATGTTGCCAAGAGAGAGGTAAGTGTGGAACTAAATGTGCTAAAAAACCTACTTATAATTAGTAAGGCATTTCTTTGATTCATAAATGGTAAATTTCATGTGTAACATAAGTACTAAATATTAAAAGGGCTTAATTCAGAAAATAAGTAATATATAATAAAATCTTAGATATATTGTTATGCAGTAAAAATTAATAAATAAAACTTAAACAAAGTGCTAAATTTATTAGGCGCTGAACAGCAGAATAATTAATATTTAAGTCAGATATTAACTTATACTTTAGTATTTTAGCAGTATTTTCTTTTTTCTCAATGTCTCAAGCTTTTACACTATATATGCGTATACCGCATTGGCGGGTTTTCTTTACCGTTGTGGCGCGCATGCTTTAGCTTTAGCAGCTGAAACAATTTGGAAGGTGGAACAACATCTGTTATTCAAAGTGGCACAATGTAAGGCATCAGGAGTCCAAGTCCCATAGTCCTGGCCATATTCCATCGTCTCACATGCCAGCACAGTTGGCCCCAAGAAACGCACAGTAAAGGAATTTATGGGAAATCATTGGAATTAATTTATTAGCCAGGTGAATATTTATAAAAACAAATGTGTAGTTAAGTGAATAAAGTGAGCCAAAAATTTAAAATAATTAAAAATGCTTGAGATATGCTAAATAGACTGAAAGTTCTAAAGGAGTTGTAGCATAAAAAAATATATACATATACACATATATATATACATATATGTTCAGTTAGACATGTGCTATATAGACTGGAATACATTTTAATTTTTGCTTTTAATAGTTAATATAATTATTAATTATTTGAGTCAAAATTATTATAAATTGCAATTGCAAATACGCATCTGAAAATTATTTGGATTGTAATTTTATATATATATATATGTTTTTTTTTTTTCTGTAGTATACGCAGCACGCCTTCAACTGCGCATGCCCCAAACCCAGTCGAGGCCGAGACCGAGCAGCAGGTGCAAGTGGGAGGGCGAGGGCAACGCCTCACTGCTGTGAAAACTCAAGGCTACTTCGATTTAGACTCGGATTGGATTGCCATAGGTTAGTCTACTACGATTGGATGCCCATTGCAAGCATTGGCTACTCTTCTACAAGATTAAGGGATCTCCAGCTTACTTTGAATCAGCTTCTGATTGGATTCCACTATGCACTGGCTACTCTTATAAATTTGTGATAACTCAAAATTATATACAGATTGGATACTCAATATTTCATTGATTGGATTTGGATATTTATATACAAGATTGAATGCTCAATTGGATTTGAAATCGGATTCAATGTAGATGTATACTACTCTTCTATGGAAATACGTAAACTCATTTTGAACTAGATTCTTATTGGACATACATTGTTATTGGTTACTTAGACAAGGCTGCTTTATCGTACATGCTGATTGGATATGTACTAAAATACTCTTATACGTGATTGTAACCATAGTCTACTGTAAAACAGAATCTAATAGGAGTCTCATACGAGAGTCTCTCTTCTGCATGCTTGAAAAGTAAAAGCTTCTTCGAATTGCTTTCTAATTGGACTCCAGCTGGAAAAATGGCAACCGTTGCGCACGGATGCAGCAGTCCGCGGCAGCGGTCGTGCAATGGCAGCAGCTCACCTGGCGGCCATCACAGCTCGACGCCGGCGATGTACACAACGATGCCCAAGTATACGCGCACTGCCAGCCAAACGTTGTATGTCACTAGTCCGCAGGTATTTGCCGGGACCGGAGGAGCTGGAGGCATGGAGAGCCAGTATAACGGTTTATATATGCCAAGTGCAACGATGTCACAGCGCCCTCTGTCGGCCTCTGCATTGCCAGAGTCTTCGGCGGGCTGTCGCAACTATTGGAACCAAGGCCAGAGCCAGAGCCAGAGTCAAGGCCAGGGTCAGGGTCATCTCGGGCACAGCTCGTTCTACCACAGCAGTGGGCGGCACTTCAACTACAACAAGCGCAAATCCGCCGTGGAGCTGTTGGCCGAATCGAAGCCCTTCTATATCAAATCCGATGCGGTTTTCGAGCGACTGCAACAAAGAGCTGGATCTGCAGCTGGAGCCGGATCTGGGGCAGGCGTTGGCGTTGGAGCTGGGATCAAACGGGGCCACTTCAGCTATGAGGAGCTGGAGGACAGGCGTTACATGAGTCTGAACAGACAGCAGCAGCAGCAGCAGGTGCAACAGCATGTCCAACAGCAAGTGCAGCAGCAGGTCCAGCAGCAGGTGCAACAGCAGGTGTATATGCACAATCATCATCATCAGCATCATCATCAGCGGCACAGCCAGAGTCATTCGCGGGAGCGACCTGGTGTCAACAATAATCTGCTGCAGCACAAGCTGCGCCTCCTGCTCGGCTCGGAGGCGGCGGCCAAGGAGCGCTCCAGCATGCGACGCCACGAGCTGAGCGACGGCAATGCCGATCTGCTGCCCGGCGAGGAAGAGAGCAGCGCCTTGAGAATACCACCCCCCCTCTACCTACCCGCCCATTCCTTTGGCAGGGAGTCCACATACGGCGCATATCCGAGTGAGCCGAACAGCGGTGGCGAGGAGCCTCTAGTGCTCACCGAGAACTACAGGCCGATCAGTCCGCCAGCCGAGTATGCGGGCAAGTCGAGTCAAGTGCACAATGAGCGTTACAGGTGAGCGATACGAAAATACCAATAAATTAAGCTCAACTTTTTGATTCCTTCTACTCTCGCAAACGTATGCTCTCTCTCACTCACTTCAACTCTGCTTTGCCGGCAGCATAAAAGTACTCAAATATATACGAACACACACATACAAAAGTGTGCATCTGTGCATGCACACTCACTTCTCTCAAAAAAAGCTTTTTGCTAAGCACATCAACAGTTTTATACTCTCTCAGTAATCATAATACACAAACTTTCAATACATACAAATAATCACGTAAGAAAGAATAAGAAGAGAGAATAATCACGTATATAAATACGCAAACAGCCGCAATAATGTATTGCAGCTTAACATACACATGCATGCACACATGCATGCGGAATTAAGAGAGCGATTGAGCGTAAATAAAATATGTTATGTGGCTATCTCGCTCGATCGCATTTGGCTGCAGAGCACTCCATACTTGTTGAGAGCGCGTAACAGAAAGGATAAAGTTGAGCTTTTTTGTGTGCTGAGAGCATTTGCACCAGTTTTGCTTGTATGGATGACCGATGTTGTACAATGCAATATGCCAATAAGCAACTCTTATATTTCTTATATTTAGAGCTTATGTTACAGCTCAATCAGCAGTATTTATACTCTTAAATGATCACATCTCTTGTGAATTTCATAGGCAACTCTTATAATTTTTGTGCTTCTTATACTTTTATATCATCAGAGCTTACATATTAAATATTGATCATAAAGAGCAGCTTTAATGAGCAACTCAAATTAACAGGAGTTGTTCAAGGCAGCTCAATACATATACATATCTGCTTATACATATACATACTTAGACATCTACTGTATATCACAGCTCTCTGATCTCTCTCTCTCTCTCTCCCTCTGTCTTTGCAGATACAACTATCAACGCTCCTACTCTCACTCGCACGAGGTGCCCAGCAATCCGGACGAGCGCGCCAATTACTCGACGAACGAGTTCAACATCAATAGCCACAAATCGCTGCCGGATCTGCATACGCAGATCAGCCGCCACTCGCCGCACAGCGAGATCTTGAGCTGCTGCAGCCGGGGCAATCGTTCGATCAAATCTGCCGGAGAGTCATCCATTAATCGGGACTCGGGCGGCAGCTCTGGCCACTATACGCATCGCAGCGAGCCCTGCTACAAGCGACAGCGGGAGACGCAGTCGGGCACCGCCAGTGGCACGATCAGGAATTGCTGTAACCTGGTGGCGGCCACTCGCAGGGACAGCGGCTCCTCCACGCAGCACAGCGCCAATTCGTATTGTGGCTATGTCACGGCCACTGGCATGGACTGCCGGTGCAAGCAGGAGCCAGGACCTGGAATGGGCGGCATGATGCCCGGCTACGACAATGCGGCTGCCGACTATTTGCTCAATTTCACGCCGACACCGGAGGTGCCAGAGGCCTTTCAGGACTCGCCATCGCCACGCCTGAAGACTCAAACGCCGCGCTACTCGAGCTCGTCTAGCCAACAGCTGCATACCAGCTCGCAGGGCTATACGAGCATCAATCACTCGCAGAGCTCGCTGGTCCAGAGTCCCGGCTCGGCGCCCTCGGTGGATGACATCAGTCCGCCGCCCATCCAATTCAAGCGGCAGCGTTGCATTCGGTTCAAGAATCGCAATCGATTGCCCGTCCAGCCGCGCACCTCGCCCAGCAGCGGCTCGGCGGGCTACAAGCGGAACATGGAGCACGAGAATGTCTTCTTTCCGAAGGGTTTCTCGGCGGACATGGAGCGGGAGGCACTGAATGCCAGCATATCGGAGCTGGAAAAGTTCTTCGATCGTCTGGGCCTGAACGACGAGGCGTTCCATGAGATCTACAGCCAGCCGAGGCGGCATCAACATAATCCGGAAAGCGATTCGGATGACTCCAGCACTGTGTTCTTCTCGGATGTCAGCACCGTGGACTCGATGCGATTGCCGGACAGCACAGAGACGCAGCCACAAACCACGCAGCCGTATCGACCCTCGGAGCCGCCGTCGATTGTGGAGCGCAATGCGAGGATTATCAAATGGCTCTGCAACTGCAAGAAGATGCAGGGCGTCTGAAGCTGCACCACACACAATTTTTATATCGATCTATAGAAATTGTTAATTTTATCTAATGTCAAGTAACTACCAAAGCCTAAACCCAGCCGAAGCTTGGAGTGTAATGGAAAGACTCTAGGATCCTAAAGATCCGGTAAGAACCAAGGATAACTTGCTATCAAGAGATCGCACAACTGAGGAGCTACTTATTGATGATGCTCAAACACAAAGAAAGACACCCTAGAGTTCGGAGGTTACCTGATATCCTTGGATCCCTGAATCGCTGCTGAGGATCCTCCACTTTTGATATTGATCTTTAGATAAGAATAACTTTGTCTTTCGTCAAGTAACTACCAAAGCCTACACCCTATTCGAACTTCGGAGTTTAAATATATAATGTGCAATGTAGCCTAGAGTCCTGAGGATCGCTAGGTCGTACAACTGAATCCTTGCTAAGGATTCTTCACTTTTGATATTGATCTTTAGATATGAATAACTTTATCTCTCAAGTCAAGTAACTAGCAATGCCTAAAAACCCATTCGAAGTTCGCAGTTCAAATTCAAGTTCAAATGTAATGGAATAATACCTTAGAGATCCAAATCAAATATGATCCCTAGATAGGGATTTATTAGCCATTTGAATGTGCGTTTAGTCACTTTTTTTGCTGCCACGTTTTGCAGGCCCCAATTAAATAATTGTATTAACTAATCGTATAGCTAAATGAGAGATCATATTAATCGTATACATAAATGGTATTATTAGATTGAATTATTGTACAATTAGTTCTTATAACGTGCATATATCGTAAACATATATACTACCTGTATATATATATACATATATATATTTGTGTATATATATATATATGTATGTAGTTGCCAAACAAACAAATCCCCACAATTGAAAAGTACTCGTAAAGAAATTGAACCTACCTATTTATGTAAGTGTAAAACGGTTTGCATGACGAATAAATATTTATGATTATCAAAAGAGACATTCAGTATTTTTGTTTGTCTTATTATATATACCCTGTAATTGGTATAAGTGGGCTCAAGAGTCGGGAGTGTAACTGATGTAGGTAAGCTATAAAGCGTTACCTATTTAGCTCACGCTTTGTTCTCTGCCCTATATGGGCAGATAATGGAACAGCTGTGAGCCTAGGCTGCGCTCATTGTCAAGGGGCACTATAAAAGCGATAGCTGTTCTGAGAGTTATCAGAGTCTAGCTGAAACTTTTGCAATGAATAAGTTCTTAGTATTGGGTGTTGTCCTAGGTCTACTTTCAATGGTGAGAAAGCTATATATACATATATATTCATATACCACGATCTATAAAAGTGGTATAAGCATACAAATTTAAATTGTCTGTCTATATTTTGATGTAAATTTTCAGGCCTTGGCTCATAATGTAAGTATTAAAATAAGTTAAAATATCTTATAATATCTCGAAAATATATAAGGCGCCGCTTCCATCACCGAAGGAAATTGGTGGACACGGTGGAAAAGGAATAGGTGACATTGGATATACTGGTATTGGAGGTCATGGCATTAAAGGTATTGGAGATGGTGGCATTGGAGGCGGTGACATTAAAGGTGGCAGCATTGGAGGCGGTGGCATTAAAGGTGGCGGCATCAAAGGCGGTGGCATTGGAGGTGGTTCCATAATAGAATCTTGTCCTCGACCCTCCCCTCAGGTCATAAGAGTGAGTATCTTGTTTTCAGAAGATAAACACATATATTTAAGCTATGATCTTTAGTGTCTGCAACAATGGGCGTGTGAGCAAGTCCTTCGAGTGGATCTGCGGTGAGTGAAGATATATATATATAAGATATGTTTATGATATCATACAGTATAACACTTAAACTTAACACCTTTCATCCTTAACAGCTGCCTGCTGAAAATAAATAGAAATAGTCTTCTCGCCAACCTGGTAAGGGTGCCTGGCCTAACGAGCGGTACACACGGTGCTCACGGTGCACACGGACTGCTAACTGGCTAGCTGAAACCACAATGCACAATTAAAATAATAATAAAAAGATCAGTAAGGGTAGCTCGAGTCGGGTGTGCTCGACTTGTGTATACCCTGAAAGCTGCGTAAAGCTGTTGTTTTAATCAATCTTTGTCTATGAATTACGGGTAAATTGTGATGCAATTATTTGACGCCCGACATACCACAATTATATGTACATATTAAGAAACTCTAGATATTTTAGCTCCCAAGATTTCTAGAATCTTAGATCGATAGACCGAGGAGTAGATAGACAAATTTATAATATATTTGCACAAAATTCTACGGTTTCCAGCTCCTGTTCCCCCAACAACCTATATACCCCCATTGGGTTGAGCTGTTAAGGGTAAAAAGCTTAAGCTGAGCAGCGCTACGTATCGAATTGGAATCATGGCTCCGCCTGTTAATGGTCAGTCAATAATGATGATGGCTAACAGCTAACGGCTAACATGCAATTGCGGATTATGGTCGATGGGGGCGATAATCGAGCCACATAACAGTTAACGCAATTATTGTTTAAGAGCTCGTTTTGACCAAGAGCTGCACAGAGCAGCAATTAGTTGGCCAATTTTCAAATTAGCCAGCAACCACCTTTAAATTGTATCTCATTGAGGCTGGCGAGACAGAGAAAGAGTGGGAGAGAAAGGCAGAGAGAGAGAGAGTGATAGAGCGATGGTTGAGCTGGGCGGTCAGGGCTCACGGGTCACCTTAAAGCCAGGCCAAATAAAAACTTGTGGCTCATTCGAACAAAGTCGCAAATCATTGAAGCATATGCAATTATTCATTTTGAGGTTGAATGCGCTCGAACGAATACACACAGATGCGAAAGCGAATGCGAATGCGAAAACGAATATGGATACGAAACGCTACGAATACACGAGCTACTCGCCTGCCAGCCAAATTTAAATTCAACAGCAGTTCTTAAACGCATAGTTTTCCTTTTTTCCAGATACCCTGTACATATGTATAATGGACAAACAGGGTGTATTAGTTTTCAAAATAATGTCTGTAGGTCAATATCCCTAAGTTCTCTTACAAAACAGACCAGATAAACCAGTTAGAGAAAGGATATCAAGCTTAATCTCTTATTACTCAATTGTTCAAAAGCGATTTTTCAATATATTCACATTGATATCTTAGAAAGTATCGAATGCCTCTGAATTGATAAACGAATATCTGTACAGGATATCTAAAGTCGAGCACTCCCCACTGGGGCAATCATAGTCACTTTCTTTTGTTTTCATTTTTGTTGCCTTCACCGTTTTATTTTATTTTTTTTTTTTGAATGGCCTTCGCTCTTGGCTAGATCGTAGTCCCATTCTAGCTTAATCCGTCACTAACATCGACAGTTGCGATAGTCCCGTTGGCAACTTCAATTTCCTTTTGCCCTTTTTATAATTAACTTTATGTGTATGTATTTAGTTTTATTGCTCGTTAGACGGCCCCCGACTCGTCGACCGAGGACAATGAAACAACAATTTGTGGCAACAGCAGCGCAACGTGTGTGAGGCCAAATGCCACAGCCTCTGCCTCTGCCTCTGCCTCAGCTTCGGTCTCAGCCTCAATGGCAATGCCACCTCCACAGCAACTGCCACAGCCAACGCCATCTTCATCGCCTTTGCCATCTTCATCTCGGCTTCGCCTTGGCCATTTTCACAGCCTTGGCCATTATATTAATTACAAACGTTTGCCCAGCCACATTTCCACAGCTCGAGAGTTCCTGTCTCCACTAATGGGCCACAGCAACTAAATCACACGCAAAGCTCTAAGGCGATTTTGGACAGCGAGCCAGTTAACGAGCTGGAATGTATCTATGTATACATACATACACATAGATTCTAGTTATATATACATATATAATTCTAATTTATATATTAGAATTAACTGAAGTTGCAAGACATTCAATAGCATGTTATTCCCTAATAGATTCGATAGCAGCAATGCTCAGGATTCATTCATTCGATTCCGTGTAGATAAAGACAAGTACTGACATCCTTAGCTGCAAGTTAAATATGTGGAGGATGTATGATTGGCATTGCTAGACAATGAATTACCCTAATTGTTACTTATATATGCGTATATAAATAAGCAGCCAAGCTTTCACCTTTGCTCTTTAAAATATTTCTAGTTTTATTTACTATAAACTTTTTCACTCCAAAAATTTAGAAAAATTGCAGATAAAATAAAATCCAACCAGTCCATCGACTCAGCTCTTGAATTATGTTCAAGAATATATATACTTTATGCTATATAAATCACAATATTTATTCAATTTAATTTAGTTTGTCCAAAGCTTTGATAACATCCAGGCTGGCTATATCCGATTCGGTTGTAGTCTCCGCCACAAGATTCTATTTGAAGAGCGGAAATAAGTTGTGAGTTTTCTCATTAGGCAAATGCATTTTCGGAAGGTCTTACCTCTGCGCTGGGCTGCTCCTTAAAAGCCTCCGCCAGGCCGGGATGAATGTTGCTCAAGGACTCGTCGCCGTGTCGTATATAGACTGGTACATGACCCTTGCGTGGCTCCAACTCCTGATAGGGCGCAGCTGAGAAAAATTTAATTACAAGCCATTAAATCATTGCCAACTCTGTCTACCCCCCTCTCTGCCTCTCTCTCTCGCTCTCTCTGGCTTTTGCACTCCTGATAATCTACGATGACATACACCCGGAAACCTTGAATCACAACGTAATTATGACTAACGAGCTGCTGTTGCTGATGTTGCTCTTGCTGCTGCCCCTACTTGAATCTACGCCTCTGCCTCACAGTTGGTTTTTAGAAATTAAAAAAAAAATGTATATATATATAGAAAACCTGTTTCATCACTCAACAACAATAGAAACGAAACGTGAATAGTTGTGCTAATAAAAATGATTTTGCATTTATTAATGCCTAGTTTGCATTGATTTATATATTCAATTTGGATGCTCTGCAGACTCAACTAGGTCGGTTACTCACCTTTGGCCAAAATGCACAGCAGCAGCATAAACAATGCGATCAGAATGCAATTCGCCGATTTGAACATCTTCGATTGTAAGAATACTGAGTGATTAGATCTTGAAAGGCACAGCGCAGACTCGAGACTGACAGCAGAAAGTGTTTGTGCCCAAGATTTATAGCGATGTTTGTTCTCTTTGAGTTCTCATCAGCTCGGAGCTCAGTGCTCAGATGCTTGGCATCAATCAGCTTTCCACTCGGCAGCATCTTTATATATGGCTTAGATTATTATTTGGGGGCAGCGCCAAGTCTCACGACTTTTGTTGTTTTCGCTTCAAGCTATATTGCAAATCATTCTTCCGCTCTTAGTCGTGGCTCGACTCTCGTCTTTCACTCCACAGCATCGTTAGCCGAGGCATTCTTGATCTGTGTGTGTTGAGCGAATACTCAAGACTGGAATTGCCAAGCAGCTGTTGCTATAACTCTATATAGTAGCAGTTCGTTCTTCCGCTCAACCTTGAGCTCTCTTCAGCTCTTTGTACTCCATAGCATCTTCAGCTGAGCATATTTGTACTTATATTGTAAATGTGTAGCCGGGTATATTGGTTTTGTGACAATGGATAAAGCAGGCAGTGGAAAGCTTGGTAGACTCCATAAGGTATATGAATGTATATACTCGATCAAAGCATCAGGCTGAGTCCGTTTAGCCATGTCTCTCAGTCTATTCGTCCTTCTCTCTAAGCTTAGACACTTGAAGATTATTCAAGCTATATATAGTTCTATGCTAGACAATGATTTAAAATACCTTTCCATTGTTCAATCTAATTTAAATTGTGTACAGGGTAGCTTCAAGTCGATCATTTCTTACTACTATCACAATAGTCTTGCCTGTATTGATTCTATAGATCTCCAGCTTGTTCTTCTCTAAAGCTTTGCTCAGCAAATGTTTTCACTCCACTCAAAGCGCTACTTCACACTCCACGCCGAAGACTTGAGAACTCAAACCCCACTAGTGCGCTCTCTTCTACTCATTAGCCTTGCTTAACCTTGAACTCTCTTCAGCGCGCAACTCAACTCAACTCGACTTCATTAGTTAAGTAAATTTAATATATTAGATTGCTTAGATTGAAATCTGTGTGAGTGGAAGCTAGGATTTAAGACTGACTGCTAAGACATGCAACGCAGTTCTCCTTGTCTTTGTCGCTGCTCAGTTAAGCTCTCTCCATTCTCTCAATTTATCTCGAAATCTACTTTTCCACTCCACTCCACTCCACTCCACTCCATGCCACTCTCCAGCATCATCAACAGCTTGAGCTTCCAGCAATAAACTTTTGCTTGGCAAATTACTCATGGGTAGCCGATGATGACGTTGATGCCGCTGCTGCTGCTGCTGCGGCTGATGATGATGATGATGGTGGCTGTAATGAAGCTGTCGGCATTCGCGAACTTTTTGATACCCGGAAGGGGGGAAAGGCTGCCTGCTTTAGCTACATACATATATATGTGGCTCCAACTTCTACTTGGGAGCAGGTCGACGCAGGTCGGAGCTGGAGCTGGAGACGTCATTTAGTGGCCTGTGGCATTATCCACTCTGTGGCCATAAAGCAGTTGCTGCTGCCGCTTCTTCTTCTTCTTCTTCATCATCTGCTTCTTATTTTGCTTCTTTTTCAAATTCAAACGCTCGCAACTTTTTTGTTTCAAATTAATTGGGTCGTTAGAGAAGCCATTTGCGCGGGTTCTTTCACTTATTCTTTTTTTTCCCCACGCTTTTTTTTCTTTCTTCCTCTTCTTCTCACTGTTTGAATTGTTTGCCCACTTTCGCTTTTGTTGAATGTATTCAAATCGAGAAAATTGCTGACATCTGTAGAGCTCGACGAGTGTCAATCTGAGGGATTGCTTGGAATGGGACTAGGCGGGGCAGGGGTTGGGGTTGGGTACTTGGTTTGTTTGCGCGTCCTTCGACTTTGTAGTACAGCAAGTGTTATGTGTGTGTGCAAGGGCGCAGGATTTCAAATCAAATTGTTGAGCAAATATTCAACAGAGTAAATATGTTTATGCCGAATCAAGCAATTTCATTTAAATACACACACTCACACACAGCAGGGGTGTATGTGTGTGTGTGTGTGTGTGTGTTGACGCTGTTTGTGCACTTGTGACAGCATCTGAATTGAATCAAAGCATAGTTTATAATGCGCGCTGACATAAGCCAAATTAAATTTAATCAGGCTTAAAGACAACTTGTTACTTCGTACCTGGGGCATCGTTGGCAAACGAAATCCTTTTACTCGCTTCAACAGTTGTGGAATATCCCTAAAAGCTTCAAATTCGAAACTCTTTAGGCTTATGTGGAGCTTGGCGGGGACCCAAAGTGCAATTTCCATATACTTTCTGATTTATTTTCCTTTCTGCTTAAGCAAAATATTTTCCTTAATTTCACATTAACACCTCCATAAATAGCAAGTAAAAGAAACATTTGAGTTTTTGTTTGTCTGTCGTTTATTTAATATGTTTATGTATTTTATGTTTAGTATGTATTTTTCCGAGGCTCTAAAAATAGTTACATGGCTGCACTAATGTGTGTAGGTGTAGCTATAATACGTAACTATATCTAATTAATATTATATCTGGTTTTGGGGATTTGCATTTTCCGTTTTTCATTTTCCATTATCCATTTTCCTTTTATGTTTTATACTCGTATGCATGTATCGTATGTATGTATGTATGGTTTCTTTGTATCTGCAGTTGTTTATACTATTATATGGTTTCTGTGCTTCTTTTATTATTTATTTTTAAGAATGGATAAGCATTATGTCTTTTTTTCGGGAAGAGGGGGTACATATGTTATAGATAATATATATACTCTACATATTTGTTTGCCATAAAATCGTTATGTATGTGTGTTTCACTGTAGATAAAGTATGTAAAGTATGTAAGTATGTAAGTTGTATGTTTGTTAAGTATACGAGTATGTACGATTTCTATATAGTTTATAAGATCCACTGTAGCATATGTATTTAAAGAGACTGTGTATTGGGCATTGATAATTTCGTTTGATTATTATGTTTAATTGTTTTTTAAATTTTATTTTTTTTTATGTGTTTTGTTTAAATATTTTCAAATATTTTCTACGAAAGCAGAAACTATTTAATTGCTTGTTTCATTCGCATGGTAGAGTTAAATCTTTGTCTAACTAAAAATTTTGAACAAGAACAAATTCTAATTAAGTGAAAAGTTGCTGAATATGTATATATATATATATAATATATATAAAGACTTGTACATCATTTACCAGAGTTTGGTAAAAATATGGTTTGGTATTCTAGAGAGACAGAGAGAGAGACTCACAAAGAGTCTGAGAGAGAGTGGTAGAAAGAGAGAGAAAGTTGACTAATTAGGTGTCATATATGTTAGTATATCTATACCTTTATAGGTCTATAACTAAGTTTTGAGGGTTTCCATAAAAGCGAGGAAATCGAGCTCAAGTGATTAGACTATACTCAATTCATAGTAGAAACTCTAGGATTACCTATGAAATAAGCGAATTTAGAATATCATGAGAATAGCCTGACCTAGAGCTTGGCTAACTTCAATAGACCTATCGCATTCTGCTTGAAATGATCTAAGGAAATTATCACAGGATAACATTTTAGCACTTACCAGAATTGCAAGTCTTACTGATAAGTAAACACGATGAAGTGATATTACTGTAAGGGAATGCTTTGTTCCATATTGCAAATGAATATTAATAATTTTAAAGCATGATGTTTCCAAAATTTAAAGAAGTACTCATTTATGTAACATGGATCTTGGAAGAATTACGATTTCTAGCGCATTGGAAATTTTATAAATTGATTTTAGTCCCAAATGCATTCATCAAAAACTCTCTAAAAAGTGCATTACTCAATCCTGCTGGCTTGTGTAATTTGTAATTAAAATCCTTGTACACATTCACCTATGTAAAGCTGCAAATCTATTGTAAAAACACCTCAAAACTTAGTTACATAAATATAATCAATAATTATATATGATAGTAAGTGTTTGTATATATGATGTTCACAATATATATTGCAATAATATATATTTATATATATATATATAACTGTTTCAAGTCTTGTTGCATCTCTAATATATGAATATATAAATTAATATATATTTACGTTACGTTACGTTATATTTTTTTTTATAATTTTGTTTTATAAAATATCTCATTTGTATAATAATTTAAAATTTTAATATTAATTTCTTTTTGGTGTCATTGAATTTGAATCTCAATTGGTTCAGCTGCGGCTCTATATGTGGGCGTGTGTGTGTCTGTGTGTGTAACTGGGTTATATGTTTATGTGTATGTGTGTGTTGGAAAAATGAGAGCGCACTTCTCTGTTGCTTCTGGTCAATTAGGTTTGAAGGGGGTGTCAGGGGGAAGGGGGCTTTTTTATTAACTTCTTTTGTAAGTTCTAAAACAAAGCATCTGTGTAAAAATATTTTGTTTGCATTTTTTACAATTTTTTTTTTGTTTTCTTTTTTTCATTTTTTTGTTTTGTTTTGTGTATAAATAAATCTAAATTGTAAATGAATCAATTAAACGTTTGCCTCAATGTACAATATATTTATATATATTTATATATAATTTTAATTTTATTTTTTTGTTGTTGTTCTTGTTCGTAATTATTTTTTGTATATATATGTATGTATGTATATATATTTTTGAATGTAAAATTGCAAATCACATAATTTGTTACCACTACTGTTCAATGGAATTGATACATATATATATATATGTATATATATATATATAGGCATTTAATGCTATTTAAAACGCTATCAATAAAGCCATGCATAAACACGATTTCGAACTATGGCCCTATAAACAATTGCACATAGCACTGTGGTCTAAATTCTAATTTTTTAATTTTTTATTTATATATATATATATGTATATATATTTTTTTTTAGTTTTTTCTTTTTGCTATTTTTTATGGGCATATGGCAAAATGTATTTGTTTATGTATTTTGTATGTAATTAATTGTTGGTTTATATATGTGTGAGTGTGTGTGCCTCTGTCCATGTAGCTCCGTAGTTTATAATTAATATATATAATATATTTAATATTATTTTGTTTTTGTTTTTCTTTCTCGTTGTATAATTAAGTTCGAATTGTTTTCAATGTTTGTGTTTGTTTTTGTTTCTGCATCTTGGCTTACTATGCTTAATTTTGATATAAAAACTGCCTCTGTTCAATATATAATATATATATATATTTATATATGCATTAAAAAATAACCTCTATCAATTCTTAAATTAAGAAATAATTGTAATTGACAATTTAATTCAAATGGTTTTTTGTTTATATTTTTGTGTTTCGGAATAAAAACTACGCGTAAAATAAATACATATTTCTTGTATATATATTATATATACGTCTTTCGATTCCTATATATAAATATATTATATATTATATATAAGAGTTACGTTCATTAAAAACTATGTCACTTACTTTTGGAATTGCTTTTAGTTCTCATTTTTGTTTTACAAGTGCTTCATCTGCTTCTCCATCTTCACCTATGCATCTTTGAATATCTGTTGAAACTTTCAGATGCTTGCCCAAAACTTTTTGGATATATGTATATAGACTGCGCTATTGTATCTGCGAGTATTAGCTATGTATATATATATATATATGTGTGTGTTTGTATATATATTATATATACTCTCTCATATACTGAGCTTTGACCTAGGCCAACGTGGGCTTACCATACTGTATTACTATTATTTACTTTAATTTGCATTATATACGAATACTCGTTCAGGCACTGAAAAGTGAGCATATTAATTTTGTGCAATGTTTTAAAGTAGGAAATTTTGGATCTTGAATGCATATACTCTTGGGTATAGCTGGTTCGATAAGGTGTTGCAGTTTACGGAATGCGAAATACTTTAAATATTTACTCTCAGTTAGGACATTTCAATTTTAGTTAGTTGTAAATCGAAAAACTTTGTTCTCTGTTATAAATTCAATGTGAACGAGCATTAAGCAGTCGGTAGTGTCCGACTGCCAAGGTTTTGGTTTTGGTTTTCTTTGTTGTTTGTATAAAATTAGTTTATAATCTGAATAATATGTACATAATTTAAGTCTAGTAATAAAAATAACTAAATATATATATTATATATATTGCAAAATGTGTGAGTATGTGTATGTATGAGTGTATATAACTTAATTGAATTTATCTTAATTTTTTTTTTTACTTTTTTTTTAATATATGTTCATTTTTTTGTTTTTTAATTGAATGCATTTATGTTTAAGTATTGTCCTTGTGATATGTTTCTAAATTGTTTTTTCTTTATAATCATTTCTAAGTAATTGAAGTAGTTTTTTTTTAGAGCATATTATGGAAGTTATTCATCTTAAATAGGGAGTTTTTTTCTTTTCGAATATATAAAGTTTTGTTGCTGTTTTTAAAATTGTGAGAGTATTAATACAATCATCATTGCTTATCTGTTGGCCTACCGAACTTGTGATGCCTTTGGTTTAGGTAAATATATATATACATATATGCATATATACATACATATACATATATACGTATTCAAAAGACTAAGAGCGAGAGTTAGTTAAGAGAAAGTGCTAAAAAAAGTCCACTAGTTAATTAGTTGCTAAGATTCGAAATGAGCTGGCTTTCCTCTTTAATATTACTATTATTATTATTACTATTAGTTTACTCTATGTATCTATATGTATGCATGTGTGTCTGTATGTCATCATCTGCTGTACCTATGTATATAAACTCTAGAGCCCTAAAACGATGTCTTAAAGTATTTTTTTGTCGATTTCTTTTTCTTTCTATATACCAAAAACATGCAAATTGGTTCTGCTCGCTATGTACTCATATAATTCATAGATGGGTATATATATACATATACATATACATATATATATATAGTTTTTGTATATAGAGTTTCTACTTATGTTCCATAATATTCGTTGTGTCAGATTTTTACTATAAGTTACATTTTGGATTCCATATTAAACCTTTTGTTATACATTTTTCATATATATTTGTATTCTTTTCCATCTTTTTGTGTAATTTCTCGCTCATTCTCAAAACTAGGGGAAACCAAAAATTGTAGTTATAATAGTAATTGGAGTAATAATAATAATATTGAGAAACATGCTATTGAGTATATCGGCATTATCGGCATTACCAAAACACATTCCATACTAAAAATTCCATGCTCAAAAAACTACTCATATAAGCTGCTAGTTGACTGTTTTGATTCATATATATATACGTGTATATATATACATATATATGTATATTTATCGATAAGGGTGCTCGAGTATTGCTTATAGGGTTTGCTTTTATCTTTCATTGTTATAAAGTATTTTGAAGTTTGTTAGAATTTTAGTATTACTTAGGCTACCACAATGTCTTGACTGTTCTCATCGCTCTCCAGCTCGTCGGCCTCGATTTGCTTCAGCTCCTCCTCATCCTCGTCCAGATCAATGTCATCCACGCTCTTGTCGAGCGATATTTCGCTATTATCGCGCAGGCAGGCCGACTCCAGATGCTTGTTCAGATACGATTTGAGCGCAAAGGTTTTGTTGCAGCGCAGGCACTTGAAGTTCTTATCGCCCGAATGCGTCTGCATGTGCGCCCTCAAATTGGAGCGATCCGCGAAGGCTTTGCCGCACTGTACGCACACGTACGGCTTCTCACCTGTGTGGGAGCGCAGATGGCCTTGCAGCAGCCAGGGACGCGAGAACAGCTTGCCGCAGATGTCGCAGCTATGCGACAGTTTGTGCGTTAGCAAGTGCATGGCCAGGGCGGGCATCGAGACGTACGCCTTGCCGCAGGTGTTGCACTTCTTGGCTGACTGGGAGTCGAGGGAGCGGTGCGTCTGCTTGTGGCGCGACAGATTGCTGGAGGTGGCGTACTGCTTGCCACACTCGGAGCACTTGTAGCAGCCGCGCTTGCGCTTCGCATAATTCTCACCGCTTGTCACCGATTCGCCATTGCCGGCAGCAGTCGAGCTGCTGTTGCTGTTGTTGCCGCCGCCGCCGTTGCTGCTGCTGTTGCTGCTGGTCTTTGGACGCTGCGGCTGCTTTTTATCCTTGCTGGCTTTGCTGGCTTTAGTGCGTCCATCGAGCATATTGAGACACATTTTCAAGGCAGAGGCACGCTGTTGTGGCTGCGGCTGATGCTGTTGTTGTTGCTGCTGTGGCTGTTGTTGCTGCTGAAGCTGTTGCTGTTGCTTATTCCAGTGGCCGGATTCGGAGGAAGAGGACATGTCAATGTCCACATCTGAGCTGTGATCAGAATTGGGCGGTGTTAGCGGCGAACAATTGTTCGATGTTTCCGTTGCGCTGTGCAGCAAATCATAAGAGCTGCTGCCAATAAAGCGAATATTTGAGCTGTTGCTGTGGCTGGCAGCAACATTGGAGTTGTTGCTGCTGCTGCTGCTGCTGTTGCTGCTGTTGCTGCTTTGGTAAGGCGATGGCGCGTTTGATATCTCCTGCATGACATTTAGGTTGTCCGGCTGCTTGGGCACAGTCTCCTGCTTCATTATGGTCACCACACAGGGCGGTATCAAGGGAGGCAAGCTCTGGGATAGCGAGAGCAAATCATGCGCCGCCTCCGTTTCCTCCAGGCTGCGTCCGCGGTAGATAGCCGCTGCCACTTGTTGCTCCCTCTCCCGTTCACGCTCGCGCTCACGTTCACGCTCCCGCTCCCGCTCCCTCTCTCTTTCCCTCTCACGTTCACGCTCCCGCTCACGCTTTATGGTAATCGGCAGCGGCTGTCGCTGCGCTCCGTTGGCATTCGCTGGCGGCGCATAGAAAATCACTTTGCCATCCTCGGCTGGGGCGCGACCAAAGGCCACTGGACGGCGCATAGATACTGCAAAGAGAATACAAATGCTTATTCGATTACAAATGTTCAATTCGTCCACCCATCAGGTCGACTGACAATCTAGAGGCATATCACAGCTATCGATTTGATTGGTTAACTCCATCCTTAGATCAGATTCGTGGCAAATTCCCAGGAAATGAAAAATGAGAAAAAAAACCTTCCTGACAATTGACAGCATCAGAAGTGAAGGCTGTCAATGCAGTTGCTGTCATTCGCCATAATAACAGGATTGCCAAATGCACAGGTAATTCCGTTTCACATCTATGTAGCCTATGATTTAATGATTCTCATTAGGCCTAAGTGCATAAGTTGTGGGTGAAATATGCATTTGTAAACAGACACTTGTTACTCTATTTGAATACTGAACTGAATTGGCACGACTGAACTGTAAAAACACCCTGTGTTGAACGGCGGACCTAGCTTTGGTAATGGGAGCACCCTGTGCTAGTTAAAAAGGTCTGCAATGGAGAGCTTCCTTTAATTTCGATTAATCACACTAGACAATAAATGATAAACAATAAAAATTAACTGTGATTTTCTCTATTTTTGAAAAATATTTTAAAATTCAATAAACTTAAAATTTGTAAATAAATATTTGATTTGACTGCATTTATTTGCATAGATATCGTAATTAAAAGCTTATGCTGCTAACAGGGCATATTTATATTTCACACTCTCTATTCAAATAAGCTTGCATTAGTTGATTAGAGATGTTTTGAAAAATAAAATAAACAACATTATGCGAACTGCAAAGATTTGTGCGCTTCAATTTAATTAAGAGTGTGACCATGGCTAAACTTTGTTAAAATGTGTTGCTTAGTATTTTTGTGTGCAAAAGCAACAGTAAGAGAAAGAGAGAGAGAGAGGCGCTCCTTCTGAAGCTTACCTCTGCTTAAATATACTATAGACGAGCTCCTTAGTATTTTTTTGTGCTAGTGCTCGACAGTGCACAGGAGAGAGGGAGAGACGGATACTCTTACTATTAAATCTACTTGAATAGTGTTCGCTTGCGGTGTGAGGGGGATGACATTATTTCTCTAGAGCTGTGTTACATTTCGTATTCTCAATCGATAAGACTTGCCTGCTTGCTTGGTTGCTGCTGCTACAAGACTACAAGTAAAGTGTGCCCACCCTGCTGGCCCTCTTGACAATGGCGCGTGTTGGTTTTCGTGTTTGCATTTGCTGCTTTGCTTCTTCTGCACAGCCTTTTGTCAAGAGCAACAAGCAGCGACGACGACAACGGCAGCAACAGCAACAACAACAACAACAACAACATCGACAAGAAGGCAAACATGAAAAATGCCAACATACGCTAAAAAGATTAGCTAACAGCGACAATGTCAAACACGCAAGAGAGTGTGGAGAGAGTGGCCAGCGGCAGAGGCGTGGGCAGAGGAAAGGGAAGGAAATGAAAGGTTGTCCGTTGTCCGTAACTGTAGTCCAAGTGGAGCCACAGTGGGTGGTGGCCATAAAAACGTGCGGGCGACGGCTACTAAAAATAAATACACGAGTACACAAATTGTCGCAGCCACCTGTTCACATTGTTGTGACGCAACCTCTGGGCAGGTGGCCGTAACCAGGGGCAGGAGACTTAATGGAGGGCTATAAAGGAAAGCGGATATGTATTTAACTGTTGCACCTACCTGCGGATACTGTTTTGGTTGTGTTTGTTCCTCCAGCTGCTGTTGCTGCTGCTACTCCAGCTCCAGCTCCAGCTCCAACTCCATTCTCAGTTGTAGCTCCTGTTGCTATTATGGCTACTGTTGCTGCTGTTGCTGTTGGATGGCGTTGTTTGTCCGGCTTGGAGATCACTTCTCCTATTGCTGTTATAGTAGCGCCCGCTGATGATACTAGATGGCGCTGCTTTTCCTGCTTGGAGTTCATTTGCACCAGCGACTGTGCCGCCGCCCATTCCAATTGTTGCTCATCGGACTGGGCCACCTCCTCCTCGTCCTCCATGGCATCGTCATCATCCTCATCATCATCCAGCTCGATTATTTCACGCTTGAGTGCGGCTTTACGCTTGCTCTCCCTATCCTTAGCCTTCTCCTTATCCTTGTTGCCAGACTTAAGGGTCATCTTGCCTTGGCCATTGTTATTGTTATTATTCTTATTGGCATTGCGCAGCACCGAGAACTTATCCTCATTCCAATTGGTATAGGCCGCCGGCCTCAGTTTACGTAGCTGCTGCTGCTGCTGTTGTTGCTGCTGCTGTTGTTGCTGTTGTTGCTGCTGTTGGCTGTTGGTTGCTCTGGGCTTGGGCTTGGGCTTGGACTTGGGACGTCGCCAGCTCTGTAAATCGCTGGCCGGCGCACATTTCTTGCTCGCATAGGCAATCGTTTGTATCTTGTTGCGATTGGGCAGTATAAAGTCCACAGACATTGTGTCTACGTCGCTCTGTTCACTAGCTGCCACTTGCCAGTTCGATCGAAATTTTTTATAAACTACTTAAAAACCCTTTGGGCTATACTTTGTATGTTTGTGTTACGGCTTTTCTTATTTTTGCTTATTTGTTTTTGTTTTTCTTTTTTTTTACTTATTTATTATTTATTTACTATTTTAGATATAGCACAACCTTCTTTCACATCGACTCCAGTGTAGTCAGTGCAGTAAAATGCTTCACTTTGACTCCAACTTTGACTTCGACTTTGACATGAGCTGCCTTGAGAGTAGCGCTACTTCCGTACCGGAAATCGGTTCTACTTCTACCTCTACCTCTACCTCTACGTCTACTTCTACTTCTGCTTTTGATGTTGCTGCTTCTGCTTCTGCCTCTGCTTCTGCTGCTGGTGCTGGTGCTGCTATTGCTTTTGGCTTAGCATTGTTAACGTGCATCCTTGATCTTGATTTGGCTCTCTCCTCCAGCACTGCCAAGCAGACTCCCCAGCAGCGTTATCTTATAACATTTGCAGTTCTTGTTCTTCTTCTCTCTATATATATTTGTTATATATGAGTGTGTATGTATATATATATCACTTTTATTCAATACGCGTAGTATGCTTGAAAGAATCACTTAAGTTATTGCTTTCGTTGTTGCGTTTCCGTTCCGTTCCCGTTTCCGTTTCCGTGCATTAATCAAAGTTCTTTATAGAACGGAAAAGAAGATTTTATCCATTAGTTAACACAGCTCAACTATGGATTTATAAATAAGACTTAAAATATACATATAACTAAGTTGGCAAATGGGAATTAGTAAAATATTTACAGGCAGTTCACTGAAGCTGATTCGACTCATATGAAAACCCAATCAATGATATGATGTTTTTTCAATCAAATTTTGATAGAGTAGTTGGGTTGCTTGAAACAAATAGATAGAAAGTAAAAAGAACCGGTTCTTTTCAGTTTGTAAGCAATACGTTATCACTATTAAAATCTTTGGTGCTTGTACTAATAATAGTGAATTGGAACTAGTTCTTCTCAGATAAGCTACAGATCCTTTTGAATTTTTGGTAATACTTTAAAAGTATATTAAAGCCAAGATTAGTATGCAAGCTTAACAGAACTGCTTCTTCAGTTTCAGATGAATACATTTCATTATCAAATGGAGTTCAGAATAATGTTTTTACTTTACTCTGACAATTATCTTCTTGATCTAAGTTAAGTAGGTTGGAACTAGTTCTTCATTATTAAGGTTTTGATGGGAACTATTATTATTCAGAAAGCTTATCAATAGGTTTCCACTATGCTCATCATATCATGTAATGGTAGTAATTGTTTTTATTGAGATGAACTGGTTCATTTGATATTAGACATAGCTGTTTTCATTCACATTCATTCACATTTACATGTCATTCACATTGTTGATTGAAACTCGTTTCCCATTAGATTTTTTGATGATTCATTTGTATTTCTTGTTTCTGTTGTGATTATTCTAGTGGAACTGTTTTATTTAGACACTTGATTTTGTCCTTTGCACTATAAACAAATTCACGCACTGGTTCACAGCTCGGATGCTGCTGTTCACATAACAACTAGAGCAAAGCCGATTTGCTGCCTTCCAGTAGTTGCTGCTGATGTACTTTACACTTGTTCCTCAACACTTTACAAGAATCTCAAATTGAGGCAGAAATTCTGTTTTTATTTTTCTTTGTTCTTTTCTCTTTTATTTTAACATTTCGAAACAGTTTATTTAATATACCAGAAGTGGAAGTAGTAGGTTCGGCTAAGGGGGGCTTCAATTCGTATGAGAGTGCGGGCCAAGGGGCAGGTGGGCTGGCGGGCGGACAGGCAGGCAATGCTCTTCCAATGGAAGGCGCGCACGCACACCAACCACGTAAACTATCTATCCCTATCCCACTTTTTAAAATGGCGCATACTCGTGCACTCGTTGGCTTTGTTTAGGAAATGCAGACTTCAATTGTTGTTTATGGGATTCGACTTGAACGCAAATCAATTCATTCACTGCTTCACTTATAGCATTTTATAATACTTTTTCCATGTTGCACGCACTTTTTGTTGATTTGTTGAAGCTCACAGTTGCTTGAAAATTGAACAAGAAAAAATGTAATTTTTTTTTTTCGTTGTTCGCTGTGTTTCAGCGTACAACAACTTGTTTCACTCTGCACTTGTCGAATGTTTTTGTGAGTCCGAAACGAGTAAGAGCAACGCACACCAATACAAGGAGAGCGGCCGAGTGCGAGAGCGCGCGAGAGTTACGATTGGGAGAGAGCGAGAGCTTTTTAGAGCGAGTGGCGAGTGACGAGTGCGGCATACATGCAACAAATAGTCAACTGTTGGTTGCCCTAGCCTACCTCACTGTGCTCGAGCACCCACCCTCACTCACTCACACACACACACACACTAAGGCGCTCTCTACATCGCGCTATATCTCCCTCTCTCTCTCGCTCTTGCTTCTGCTGCCATTAGTTGCACATAAACAATGCGCAAATTTATTGCATACTTTGCAGCGCTCGCAACGAGTGTCGTTAGGGCCCGCTGCTGCTGTTGCTGCGGTATATGACACACACACATACACACTGATTCGGCACTTTGTTGCATACGTCACATGCAACAAAAGTTTACAGTTGAACGTGAGAACTCATGCATAAATTGAGTTTTCAATTGAAGTTTTTCGCCCGAATGAATTTCCTTGCTCAAAATTTTCACTTGCCAGCCATTTGTAGCGTAGCTTTATTAAATCATATATTTAAATCTGTATTTGCTATTCGACTTGAGAATTGCACACCTTCTTCTTCTTTTTCAGCTGGCACTTGCTCGTCGTTGACTTGATTTTGTATTTATTTCTATTATGTTATTTTCCGAAATATATATACATCTCTTTTTCAGTATATTACAATTGCTTTATGTGTTTTGGAATTTAATTGAATTTTTGGACTTTTGTTTTAGTATTTTTGTCTTGTTGCTTCTATTTTGTTTTGAATTTAGCATTAATTTGCTGCCGCTGTGCGTCAGTTATTGACGGTACCACTCCCTTCTTCTACTGCTGTGCGCTACGTTTTCACAGTTGCCGTTCACGTCACAGTTGCTAAACTGAGCTCAGTGTACCCGTGTGTGTGTTGGTGTACCAGTGTGTGTGTGTGTGTGTGTAATTTACAGCGAGTGTGCGTGATTTCGGGTCAGCAGCGAAACCAAAAGCAACAACATTTTGGTGGTGGTGTTGGCGCTTAATGGGCAAGGGTGAAAGCTTCGGCTGGTGCAGGGTTGCGCAGATCCAAGTGCATAGGGCTAGAGCAATACTTGTTTAGCTTGGCTCCTCTTCTTGCTCTTCGGCTTTTGTTGCTTCTTTGATTTGTGTAGATCGATAGGCCGCGCTTATGAAGGCAACGGCAACCAACACAAAGACACAACAAGTAGCCAAGCAGCAGCCGCAGCAGCAGTGGACGCAGAGGAAGCAGAGCCAGCAGCAGCAGCCAGAGCCAGGCTAGAGACACCCCCGGAAAGGCAATCAACAAATAGTGCGCAGACGCACTCGCTCTGCTTTTGGCAACAAATGTAACGAGAGCGCTCTTACACCCACACACACACGCAGAGACCCACACATACGCATACACACGCATAGCAAGCAGAGGCAAGCACACACACTTGTGGATTGCCGAAAATTATGCAACAGCAGCAAGCAGCGGCAGCGGCAGCAGCAGCAGCAGCAGCAGCAGCAGCAGCAGAGCAGCAACAGCAACAGCAACAGCAGCAGAGCAGCAGCAACAGCAGCAGGAGCAGGAGTCGTATGGGCAGGCAATCGTTCATTTGGAGGGTTGTTATGAACAGGGCTTGGGGTGGTATTTTTTGGGCGTGTGTTTTGATGTCTGCCACTTGGCTGCCTAGCTGCCAAAAATACCTAAAAACAATGTTGCTAGCCATGAGAAATGGGGCGCTAACTTAAGCTGAATTATGGTTAGATATGACGAGCTGCTGCACAAAAGACAGCACACACACACATACACAGAGAAGCTTACACATACATGTGATCTGGTTAAAGCATTTAATTTGATTATTTTCCACTTGCACAATTGCCGCATGGCTTTTCTCACTCTATCTCTCTCCCACTCCCACACTCTCTCTCTCTCTCTCTCTCTCTCTCTCTCTCTCTCTCTTGCCGAAAAGCTGACACACAAGTTGGCCAGAAGCTTCACTAACTATGCCGGTTAGAACAATGGCCAGAACGACGCATTCAGCCGCATCCACAGTAAACTGTGTATCTCCCGCTCCTGGTCTTCCAGCTACCTAGCCCCGCCCACGCCGCCTCCTGCAGCCTGTTGTCCCTTTTTCGAACATTTTGAGGTTTTGGGCTTTATTTCGTTACGTTTCGTTTCGTTTGGTTTGGTTTGCTCTGTTTGCACAGCGCCAAACCAAAATCAAAAAAAAAAAAGAAGAAGGGAACGACAACGAGGACAACAGGAACAGCAAAAGCAACAGCAACAGCAACAGACAGCAAGGACGTCATGGGCCGTGGCCCTGTGGCCCATTGCTGTTGCTGTTATTATGGCCATAGTCGAACTTCCCCATGTCCCTTGTGGTTGTTTCTTTCGGCGCTCCCGAGTCTGGCTCGGCCGGGTCCGTTGCGTTGACATCAACGCTTCCGCTGCGAGCTTCCTTATTATTCCTGTCACTAAGCCGCCCTTTAAATTCGCAATGAATGCCAAACAGTTAAATGTTTTTCGAGCTGCGGAAGTGCAACCAAAAACAGGAGGCATTTTGCTCTCTGTGTGGGGCGGGTGGAGTTGGTGGTTGGGGGCGCAACCCTCAAGGTTAACAGTATCAGCAACAGCAACAGGAGCGGCAGCAGGAGACGGGGGCAGAAGACGGCGGCAGTCAACTGAAGAAGGCTACTTGCTGTGTGAATGTCCTGCCGCGATGCGGTTTGGCTGCCGCGGCGAGTTTGACCCTTTTATGGCGCCTTGTTATGCTAACATTTTTCGTCAAACGCTAATGGAGCTTAAAAAGTTGTCAAAAGCGGCGCGGGATTTCTATTTTAATTTCACAGCGCTCAAATAGAAAATGAAATGGGCCTGCAACGAGGCGACGGAGAGTGAGAGAGAGGCAGGACAAAGGGACTGCGTACTTCCCCGGACTCTTAACAAATCAGACGCCAATCGCTGTCAGTCAACAGCTACAGAGTCCTTCTGCTTTACAGAGTCCTTCGTCCAGGGTCCAGCTTCATTTATTGCCATATGCTGACGACAGTGTTGCTGGCGGCAATCGAGGCGAGCGTGGCGAGCGAGGCGAGCGAGTCTGCGAAACACGGCGACGGGGGCCAATTTGAGCTGTCATAAAAATGTACAACAACTGGCAACAAAGCAAACAATGCGACGAGTGCCAACAGCAACACAAAACACCAACAGCAACAGCTACAACAGCAACAGCAACAGCAATGGCCGCATTCAGCAATTGTGCAAACAAATTGCTGTTGCACTTTACTTTTATTTTACGAGTGCGAATGCGAGCGCTTTCTTTTTTCTTTTTCTTTTTTTTTTTTTCCTCCAAGTTTCTGAAGACCCAGGGAATCCCGCCTGTCAGCCAGCAAAACTGCCCCCAACTGCCACCCAATTTGCATTTTACTATCGCTGCAGGTTTTATAGTTGTTGCTGCTACTCCTGCTGTTGCTGTTGTTGTTGATGTTGCTGTTGCTTTTTGATGCCTCACTTTTGCGCTGGTTTTATTTGCACGCCGCAATTTTCTTGCGCTCCTTCCTGTGCTCGGCCATAAAGTTTACTTAACATGCTGCCTTTTTTTGTGTGGAAGCTGTTGGCATTCGGATTGCAGAAGTCAAGCAGCTTACACAACTAACACACACACACAGACAACACAAACACCAACAGCAGCACACACAATATGCTCCGAATTCTTGGCGTGCCTTGGCCCTGGTGTTAATTCCAAGATCCGACAATGCTAATGTCGTATGCATTTGTATTTGTAATTCTATTTGTTTTGAACTCGTAACTGGACCCCATAAATTATAACAATGTAACGCTTACGCTTGTTTTTCCTCCTGTTTTTTCCTCTCCTTTCTCATTCTCCCTCTCTCTCTGCTGCTGTTTTATGCAGACAGTTGGCAACCACTCGATGTGGTGCGCTCTCGGTTTTGCGGTCCTGCGGCTAACGCGGCTATGGCTAGGGCTTCCACAAAACTCAGTTCAACTCATTAAGAGTTGCTGGCGCAGCAGCTGGCTTTAAGTGCATCAAAACTGAAAATATTCAAAGTGTGATTATGTTGAGCCAAGCGACCACAAAACGGGTCGCCTAAATGAAACTTGGATTGGTTTGTTTCGATTTTATTGAATAAAAATTGATTAAATATAGATTAGCTCAAATTAAAAGTTATACAAAATTTAGCAGACAGCAAGTACTTTGACTTTGTATGCCAAGTTACTGCTGGCTGTTGAAGACAGACAAAGTCAAGAGACTTTCAACGATAATTGGAATTCGCAAGTAATTTGCATGATGCTTAAAAGTTGAAGACTTCAGAAACGAGACGAGTTGTTGCATAGATTACAAATATTAACTAACTATTCTTTATAAATGCATATAACTAACTATTCTTTATAAATGCATATAACACATAAAAATGTTCCTGCCAAGTCCTCAAATACATCGTTTGCAAAGCTCGGATAACATTTGTTAGAGTTACATATGTTTCTTATTGTATAGTAGTTTACTTTCTTCTTCATCAAATTGACAATTTTTGTTTCTTGTAATATTATTTCAAGGCTTTCCAAGCAGCATTCCAAGTCCACATTCATTTTCTGATACATATATGGTTGTCAATCATATTAAGTTTGCTCTCAGATGTACGAAATGGTCCTAAGTTGGTTTTAGATCATAAGCAAAGCTCCTTATCATAAGCAGAAATACTTCAGCTCCTAAATATTTCATTTCAATCCCAAAGATAGGCATCTGTATATATACATAAATGTGCAGCAGGCATATAAATGCAAAAGCCTAAAAGTATGCTATATTATTTGTTCTACACACTGCATACCTGCTTGAAGCACTACTTCAAGAAAGTCTTACAAATCAGCCTGACTTTCAATTCAGATATATTTAAAATCCAAACAATTGCTGCAAAAACTCAGCACCCAATCCTTAGACAGTTGCAAAGTTTTTTGTTTAGATTATATACAAATCCGGTTACACTTCTTTTTTGCTCGAGTTGATCGAATCACAACTTTTTTAAACGAATCGTAAATCGTTGCACGTTGGGAGCGCCGCCTCACAGCCTCTCGACCAGCTCCAACTTTTCAGCTTGTTGTATTTTACTTTAGTTTCTTAGTGGAGCTTTTTATCGTTGTCTGGTTTGCTGGAATCTGGTTTTCGCCATCCGCTGCAATTTACAGCCAACATTTTCACAATTTTCCACATTTGTATTTATTTACCGTCATGTGTTTAAGATGTTGTTGATATATGTTGTGTCCTCCGTCGCACACTCAGACACACCCACACACACGCACACTCTCTCACATAGGTAGACATGCCACCGGGTTATACGGTAAGTAAATTAGGATTTATGCTTTGTTCTATTTGAGCGCTGCAAAGCCATAAACGATTTTTTATGCACAGGGCACTTGCCACTTGGCAACTAGAAGGTGGCTCGGTGGCTCGGTGGCACGTCGTACGCTGGCATTTCGCACCTTTTGCCAGTGAGACGATTTACGAGCCAACGCATGTGAGAACGTAAAATTGTTATAAATTTGCATGTGCATTTGCAGGGAGTTTGGCTGCTACGGCGATAAAAATAAAATCCAAGCAGCAGTTCCTAGTGCCAAGATCAATCGCAACGGCTTGCAAAGTTAATGGCACATGAAACATACTCACCCAACACCCACACACACCCACACCCGCACACTCTTGAAAACAGAACAGCATCACTTACCTTCAGCACATGTATGTATGTATATACACCCGAAGAAAAAAGGTCGACTACATTTTTCGCTCGCATTAGTCGCTGTTGCGTAATTGATGTGCACGAATTTATCAAGCTGCATTAGCGAATG